ACCCACACACACACACAGAGGTCCTAGACACACACGCACATATTCTCACAAATAAAAATCACTTCTTTTGTCTAAAAAGATAGACAGATGTCCTTTTCACGAAAATGAAAAAAAAAAAAAAACCCAGATTAGTTTAAAGTAACACACCGTTCCCAGGGACAGGGAGTATGTGTTGGGAATCCAACTCAATGCGATATATTATGTATTTTTTCCAGACTTTAAAAAAAAAACTTTCAACGTCTTCCAACCCGATATTATTATAAATTTGATATTGACTTCTTTAGCTATAGTTTGTGCTTTTTCAACAACAGAAAAACAACAACAAAAACAACAACAATAACGATAAAAACAACAACAACAACAACGACAATGACAACGGCAACAACAACGACAACGACAACGACAACAACAACGACAACTACATCGACATCGACATCGACATCGACAACGACAACGACGACAGCAACAGCAACAGCAACAATAAAAACAACAACAGCAACAATAGCAATAATAACTACAACAACAACAAAATTCAAAGATAATAACAATGACAACAGTTAACAACTTGAACAAGTAAAAATCATATTAACGATACCAACCACATACTATTATTATTCTGCTGCGCTTTATTCCATTTTGTTTTATTTTGTTTCATTATAGACTTTCATTTCATTTTCATTGTTTAATCTAATTTAATTTAATTTAGGTCTAATTTAGTTTTACTTTACTTTACTTTACTTTACTTTACTTTACGTTACTTTACTTTGCTTTACTTTACTTTTAGACACCTTAATATTTGAGAAAGAAAAAAAAAGGTGGGAGAGGGTTGGTTAGGGGGGAAGGGTTATAGTGGGATGGTGGTCTTAGTAATAAGTTGCAAATTTTAGTTCATTGAAATGGGCACTTGGACGTTAGTTATAGGTAAGAAATTGTTTGATGTGAGTCCAAGTTCCACTTTCAAGTACATATTGAGCTCACCCACAGAAATCTTTTGTGTAAAATTCAATTGGCTGAACCTACTTTGCTCTTTGACAGGTCATAGATGACAGGGGGGGTTCACAGTCGGTACAGTTTGAGATGATTTTTAAGGGGACATCAAGCTTTTAAACATGAAGAAAAATAATCAACGGGCTCAAATTTTAAAATTATCAACCAAAATTGGGTCAAACGCAAAATTTTACCTCGTAAAACTCAAAGAGCTCACGCCCCACTTTCTTCTGGGAGAAACCTAGCAGTTTGAGATTATTATATTCCCCAACATTGCAAATTTCAAATAGCCTAAAACGCTTTTATTTTTATAGTTTTAACCATCTGTGACCCAGATGTGTGTGCGTGTGTGTGTGTGTGTGTGTGTGTGTGTGTGTGTGTGTGTGTGTGTGTGTGTTTGTGTGTCTGCGAAAGTCCTCTTTTAGGAAAAACTGTAACATGAAACAATAATAATGAGCCTGTAAATAAGCGAAATAAACCTTGCATTTTTCTCAAAGAAGGGGGAGGGTAAATAACTGCAACCATACAACACATAGATTGGAAAGTATGTTCACGGAAAAAGAAAATGGAATGTCGATGACTAATTACTTCGGTGTGTCATGTATAATACAATGTTGTTAATAATATACAATAAAATGTACATAGTACTGCAAAAAGAAGTAAATTGTGATCAAGGGAATTAATCGAAACAATTAGCCCAGGTCTATTTAACAGTTCCTGTTCCTACCAAAGTTCATTTCCGGTTTCAAGAGGTGGATTATGGTCCATTTCCGCTGACCCCGCCTTCAATCAACACGGAAGAGAGAGAGGTAAAAATTTTCAACTTTTGTCTCAAGTTTATAGAATTTATCTTTACAACAAATTGAGCACATGCATCAGCTCTTCTATGAATGATTTCATTTCTTTTGATATTGTCTTCCTGTTGTAGAGTTTTGTAGTCTAACTTTTAACATTTCTCGTGAATGACTCACCAACCGGTCTTAGACTGATTGACTGCTGTGTGAGGTGTGTCACTATCATTTCAAGTGTGTACTAAATTTCAATCCCCTACGTACTTCTTTCTGGCATTAGTTTTGCTATTCTCCCATTCAAGAGTGTCCTGGTTTACGATACTTTGTGCATGGCTTCATTAAAGTCTCTAAAAAACATCGACTTCTCAATCAAGGCCTCCAACTTTGCTGAAGTCACAGTTTTTATGCTGAGTTCACTGCACCAGCACAGGAGGAAGCCCCACCCCCCGCCCCCATAATCAAGCAGTGCTGACTGAATCATTCAGAAAATATTTTTACCTGTCAGTGGAAACAACTGAATCTTTGTTGAAGGCACAAGTGCTAAATAGGATTTAAAGAAAGAAACGGAAGAACAAACAAGTAGGTTAATTTAATTAGATTCTAGGATCAGGGATTAGGCTTAGAGTTAGGGAGTCTCATCTTTTTACTTTATTACAAGAACTAGATTCTAGATCTAGATCTAGAATCTATACAATAAATAAATTGTTTTGTTAAACTAGAGGATAAAGTCAGGCACCCATCATCTTCGAACATGTTAACACACTTTTTGTATGATTTCCTGCTTACTCCTTTGCTGGGTCTTTATTTAAACATGTTTATTGTTGTGAATAAAACATCCTCAAAAACTACCATGGTCTGATCCATTACCTTTTGATGTTGATGAGGGGAGAAACTCCCCCCCCCCCCTTAAATGCTACCACCTTCAGAGCTGTAATGGCTGATGATTACTTTGTTTGTTTTGTTTGTTTAGTATAGGGTTTTATGGCGCTCGCAACTGCATAAGGTCATATGAGCGCGTGGGACACACCTAATACTTTTTCGTTGGTAGGAAATTTTGAATTTAACCCGGGTGGCGGCCGAAGCCTACTCTTATCGATTTTAGACCACCAAGGGATCTTTAACGTGCGCAACTTGCACATGGGCCCTCCGAGATTTTTCGCCCTTGTCCGAGAAGGCTAGGTGTAGATCTTTCCTACCAGAAGATCAGGGGTGTGGTAGAAAGACAGCTGTAAGAAGGAGTCAAGGAGTAACAGTGGAAAGGCTGCAGAAAGAGTCAGGAGCCCAGAGGAGGGGGCAAGGGAGGTGAGGGGGTGGGGGCAGAAAGAGGAGACGAAAGCAGACGACAGAATATTGCTAGAGAGCAGGAAAGAAGGTGAAAGGAGACAATTTTAGAAAAGAAAATTTTTCGGTCGCTTCCCGGATTCGAACCCGGGACCTTTGAATGAGAGGCCAACACCTTAACCTCTAGGCCACGAGAGCCCCCTGATGATTACTTTAAATCTTTATCACCTAGGGCAGCAAACACACTTCACCAAAGCCCTTTTTGGTACTAGATCTTTTATCTAAATAACAAAAACATCACTAAATGGGTATTTAAATCCAAACAAGTGAACCTATTTTGATAGTTCTTCATTTGATGAATCAACTCCCATAAAAGAGACCTTATTTTGGCAATTGCCGAAAAGTAATTTGATGTCGAAGTCATTGTAAAGAAATGTGCCCGAGCTGCTGCCAGCGGCTGACCAGCACAGCGGTTCTCACTGTGAGCCTACATGAAAAGCAATTTTCAAATGAAGAGTGACACTTTGGATTTCCTGACTTATTTCTCCTGCATCTATTCTGAATTTTCATGTAGAGTGTTCAATTGAAATTGTAAGCAAGCAGACTCAGGTTCTGTAAGAACTGAAAGTGTGTGCTTTTTGGGCTGAAATTGTAAAGTTGAAGAAAAAAAAAATTAAAATTTTCTCTCTAAAAGGAGAATTACAGTCCAATAAGTCTAATAGCATTTAGATGCTTTTTATACTTTTTCAATTCAGTTTCTTTAAAAATTCTATGATCTGTGACGGAAATCATAATTTTGAAATTTTCTCTTGACAAGGAATGAGAAGTATCTATCTCCTGTTAATTCTTTGGCCTCCATGTAAAATGAATATTTTAGTGGAAGAGCGCATTAAAAAGCAGTTTTTAAATGAGCTACTGTAGATACAGTATAACACGGAATGTCTAACACAGAAGACTCAAAATCACGCATCTATCAAACTGTGTCTGGAGTCCCAGCTTTTCTTCTTCTCTGTCTTTGTAAGATATCCCTCAGACTACGGATCCCTCGAACTACCGAGGTCGGTACAGACGAATTCACACTATCCGTGTTATACTATACGCTATAAATCGCAAGAGGTTTTCATGTGTCACTTGTCACTTTCTGCCACTTTGTCTATCTCACGGGTTTATTTCTTGATTTCCTGTTTGTGCACGGTTCTTTGTCCTTACACTTTTGCTTTTTAGGTTTCTGCTTTCACTGAATGGAAAATTTTTGTCTGTGTTTTCTTCATTTTGGTAAGGTTGAATGGAAAATTTTTGTCTGTGTTTTCTTCATTCTGGTAAGGTAGTGTCTAGGGGATGTCTCTACTTGTGGCTGTACTTCTTTAAAGTTTTATTCCTGCAAGAAAGAAAGAGTTCAATCAGTCAAAGTTGTGGGTACAAAATGTGTCTTGAAAATTAATTTCATTTGTCTACTTTGTTGCATGTTTTGTCCATTGCTTCTTGCTTAAACTTCCAATCTGTCATATTTAAGTAGAAGGTGATGGTGGTATGGTACTTTGCTTGTTTCTCATTCTTTCGCTGTTGGAATTCAATATCCTTTCTAGAATTCTGCGGATCTCCCTAACATGGCGGATGTGGTTCAAATATATCATATGGCTGCCCTTCACCATAATCACTGTATTCTGTAGTACGCTGCTTTTGGGATCTTTGCTTCATTTTTAATGGGTTGCGGAACTTGTTTATGTGCACATATTATTTATATTATTATGATCTGTAAATATCCAGTTGCATGAGTTCAAAGAAGAATATCTTTTTTTTTTTTTTTCAAGTTTATGAAATGATGAGTAAAAAAAAAAATCTCTTTAGAATAGGATTTTGCCGAATTATGACATGTTTTGGCAGAAAAGCGCAACCTGTTTTGTCTGCTTGGACCAGTTGGGACTGGTGTTTTTGAGTACAGAATACAGTATACTATATTATTTTCTGAAAATAAGTGAAAGAAAGTCGAAAGTCAAAGGGCGTCTGTGGTGAAGTGGTTAAGTGCTTCGTTATGGCACTCAGGAGATCCACGTTTGATTCTCAAGTAGGGAGAAATTGTGATTGTTTTTATTGAGTATCTCAGTCTCTCTGCTGGGATATTGTACCCCTCTTAGCACAGGTTGGCCCTGACAGGCAGGGTCGGAAACTTAGATCATGAGTAATCTAAATTTTTCAATGGTGGCTTAAAAACACCTAAAAATAATGTCCTTCCAATCAAAGTTCTTTTACACTTCAGTTAGCAGGCGAGTTCTGGTCTTTTTTAGAAGGTGGGCTCTTTATTGTCTTTTCAAAAATCTTTTTATAGAACTCGGCAACAGTCAACTGATAGGCAAGAAATGACATGGACAGTGTCCTTAGTAAAAGGTCAGGACTCCAGTAGGTGGGAGAGTTGGCAAATCCTGTGCCTTCTCATACATGGTAAAGGGAATTGACCTAAATTGGCTCAAGTTCTATTAGGAATGGCCTGTCAGCAAAGTGCATAGAATAATTTTAAAACCTACAAAGAAGATTCTTTAAGTGTCTTGGTATAACTTTGATATTTTTTCCTTCTGTTAAATGAAATTGAATGCTTTTGGAAAAGAAGGCCAAATTATTATTGTTTAGCAAAATTCTGGTTATGTTTGTAAATTGTAATGTATTTCTCTACTCTTTCAGCATTCAGAATACACATCCTAGGCACTGTGAAGAGATGCACTGTTTTGACTTTTAAATTACCCGTTGTGCTCACTTGGACTGTGTGTGATTAAAGATCACAAGAAGTCATCTTTTTCATCCTCTGTTATAACACGCGAAGACATGCTTGCAAAATAGCCTCATTGGTTAAAGTTCTATGAATATAACACACTGTTAAGTGACAGGTGCTGCAAGAAAAAACATATTAAATAATCATCAGAAAGAGGAACTTGAAGCGACATTTTTGTTGACAAAAATAATAATAATAATAAATAGCATTTGTATAGCGCATATCCCCGCTCTACAGCAAGCTGTATGCGCTTTACACTATATTACAAAATCTAAAAATACTGTTGCGAACAAAATTTTCCGACTCAATGAAATTGGTCTCTCTCCTTTTTAAAAAAATATTGAATTGGAGTGATTCAACGGAAGAGTTTCTTAGAAAAGGCGTTGTTCTTTTCCTTTACAAAAGAACACAAACAGTTTTTAGGAAGGCTTATGTTTGATATTTTATTGTGTGCCTTATTTAGTCCTTCACCTATAGTGTGCTTATTGAAAACTAATTTAGCCTTCCTTTTTCTGGAGTGAACGCAAAAATTAAGATAGTACAATCATGAGAAAGACTCTGAGAACGGACAGACTTTGTTTCCGAGAATTCATATAACCTTGCTTGAGTCGGTGCTTTGAGAGTGGTTTCTTCAGGCTTTTGGAACTTGTGTGCGGGAAACATGATATTATGTATTGTTTGATCTCTCTTCCCCCATATGACTGTTATTTAGAAACTTTTAATGTATTTGCCATGCTGAGTCATGTATCTCTTTTTTCTAATATATATTACATTGTTTTTCAGTTTTTGTAGAAGAATTTCTGTAGAAAAAATTTTTTTAATTGTTCAATTTGTTTTCCATGATTTCAGATGCTTTTTAGCTTTGTAAGCCTTTGGGTTTTTTACATCTTTTAAACTGTTGTATGTGTTCTTTTGATGCTGTGCTCCTTTTCTTTTTAGTGTTCGGCCTAAAATCCAGAGGTCTGGTGCGGAAAGGGAATGGGATCTTTCATTTTTTTTTAAATGAGAGATGAGGGAAGCACCACTTAACATTTGTCTCAGGATTCATTTTACAGAAAGTAAATTGGACCAGTTGTTATTTTAGCTATGTACATTTTTGTGGGCGAAATAATTGAAATTGAAATGAAAAAGAAATGTCCTGTTTGCTTAACTGCATTTATCATTTTAAATGTTTTTAGCAGTTTTCTACTATCACAGTGGAATAATTCCACTTTACTGAACATCTTTATTTGTTTTGTTATTTGTTTGTCTTAGGACCTTTGTTTTTAAAAATATTATTTTGAACATCTTGTGCACAAATGAACACATTTGTTGAATGTGGTCCTCCGCACTGGATCTTGACATTGTCATTAATTATGAGCTGTATGTCATATTTCCTTTTTTAGATGTTAATCTCTAACTCTAGTCACTGCAATGTTCTCCTTCTTTCTCTCTGTGTATACCCACATCTGTGTCATTCTTTTTATAGCACTCTTATCTAACTGTACAAACATAGGGATGAGGAGTTAAGCTGAGACTTCAGATTCAGCATGCACAAAATTGAAAGTTGATAGAGACCCATTTGCCTTTTTAGGGATGTGTAAAATTCCTTTTTGCTCAGTGTCCAGTATTTGAATTGTTTCGTAAAAGAATAAAATTTTGAGATCCAGAGTACCTGGTTAGTTGTTCTGTTTTGGTTCTAGTTGTGTTTTTGAAGATGCCAATTTATAGTCGTGAAAGCCTTTGTAGACTTATGTTTTTGATTATGTTCTTTTTTTCTTTAAAAACCCTTTGAGCTCTGAGCTTGAAGGACTTGTGCACCTGAGAGCCTGTGTGTCAACTGCCATATTATTATGTAAACCGGTGTACACTGAGGGGTGGTTTTGTGCACAAACGAATAAGTTTAGTCTCACTCGCAGTTTGGCTCAATCCATCGGGTTGATGGCTCCCAAGCTTAAATTCAACTTTTTAAAATGGTTGCCATCTCAGATGTATATATATATAACTGATTTAGAGTAAATAAAAGCTAGAACTCAGACTTACCTCAATGTAGTGCTAGAGGTTCATTGTGTTATGTGAATTTATTTTTTTTGCTTGCTCAGTGCAAACTTTCCAGCTGCCTGGAAAAAGAAGTATCACCCTGTATTTGGACATCTGTGTTCAGACTGACCTCCTGCTTTGCTGGTGTCTGTAACTGTCATTATTATAAGTTACCCAAGCAGGAATGTGAAGAATATGTTATCTTCTTTTAGCTTTTCTTAATGTTCCATATTGAATAAAAATTATGTTAATTTTTTGAGTGGGTTTCTAACATCTATAAAGACTTTTTATTTCCAAAGTGATGTATGTGTTTTCTTTAAATGGGTTAAACATTACAAAGTACTGAACTATGTTATTATATCTGATTGTATTTAAAAGTACAGAACATGTAAGTTTCGGGAGATTTAACAGATTTAGCATGATACGTCAGGTCTTCTGTTTAGGCTATTTGTATCTGCCTCCATCCAGCTTTTCTTGCTAGATTTTTGCACTGGGTGTACCTTTACACTGTATTTTTTAACTTTTCTATGTCTTCAACTTTTTACTGACTATTTTAACATTCTCCCAAGGGGAGAAAAATATTCAAGCAGCTATGATTTAGTTAGCCGTAAAGATTTTCTTGTTTTTGTAGTTAGTTCCTTTTCCTTAGTAGAGTGTGCTAGATTGGGCCACTGGAATTCTCAGTTAATTTTAAATACAGATTTAAGAATTATTTTGAACAACTGTTTAAACTAGAGTTTGTCAACTTTACTTAATATTCAGGTTAACCTGAGTTTGTAAAGAATGTGCGTAATTGTTTATAAATAAAAATTTTAATACCATCATTTGATTTCTGCAATCAAACTGATTTCAGGGTTTCACTAATTTGTCTATCGTGTGAAATGGTTCTTACGTATGTGTGATTTTTTTTACAAAATGTAACACTAAGACTTGAGTTGGTTTGTTCTTAAAAACCTTTTTCTGAAACAATTATTTTGTGATTAGGTGTTTAGATTTTGGGAGG